AATTTGCCGCCTCTCTTTTTCCGTGCAGGATCGCAGTGTGGCTAAAGCAAGGCTCCGTGCTGAATCTACACAAATCAACGACAAAGCAGCTTCCCCCATTCGAGTTCCGAATTCCTGATCCATACCTTGTTCTTTTCTATGTGCTGCGAGCAAAGCCACCTGCATTTCGATCATTCCAAGAGGTTCTTCACCAAGCAATCCGGCTAGTTTCGCCTCGTCCCTGCCTGAGTCACCCAAAAACCGAGTCACCATATTAATTAGTAGCACCAGCAGATAGTTGGTGTCAATAGACCCTACTTTCTGGTAGTGGAATTCAACTCGACGGCGGATGTCGACAGCCAGTGATATACCCGCTCGAGGCCCAAGAATGTTCCAGATCCATCTCACCCCATCTATAAGCTCAAAAAAGGCGTTGGCATCCGCCTGTCCGCTCACACACCCCGCAATTATTAACGATAGGAATTCCACAAAGACAGAGGGCCATAGCCCCTGGATCCAAACCTCATGCTCATCCTGCCTGATTGACTCTAACGCCGAGAGAAGCCGCTGAGAGAAGCGTTTCTGAGTCCTTCCTTCAGTGGAGTCCAACAAAGCGTCACTTAACAGTGGGATAAATACCCCCCCGAATATATCCGTAGTTGTGAGTCCCTGAGCCAGGTATGTCTGAAACCGAAAAGCACGTGACGTGTCGCCGAAATTTCGCTTCGCCTCTTCCAAGGTCGACGAAATGCCTTGTCGAAATATTCTTAGCCGCTGAGGAGCGTTTGCTTCCTGAGCAAGCGCTGCTTCCCTTTTGGCGCTTGCCAGTATGTCACTCAAGTTGAGTTTCTCTCCAAGAGTCTCACTAATCTTTCCGGTCATGCAGGCATGCGCCAACGGATGGATCCTCACCCCATTAGCATGCTCAACCTTTCTTCGCACATGCTTCAATACCATCCGTGTCCAATATGGGGAAGGCTTGGCAAGACCTCCGTCGAACAAGCAATAAAACGCTGCGCATGATAATAATATCCGCTTCCGGACTTCGGCCGTAACCGAAGAGCACGACCACAGCTTCTCCATGACGAGGAAGGTGGCTTCAAGAAGGCCGCCAGCAGCAATGAACCTGTTCAACTCTTCAAGAAGCCCCACCATTACGACTAACAACTCGGCTGTGGATTCTCGCCTCGATGAATCCACGTTTCCCCGACTGACTTCATCCGCAAGTTTGGTCAAGTTTGCCATCAACCACTCAACCGCCATGTTCGGTTCTTTGACAACTAGAAAGAAAGAACAAACACCCTGTACCCTATTCCTAATTTCCCCTCGTTTCTCCAACCACGGCCCAACACATCTCGCTCTCACCACTTCAGCAGTGGACAAAGTTGCACTCGTGTCGCCCGCTCGATGCAATTTTTTCGTTTCCGAGAGGATTGTATCCCTTTCCCCAGCTAGCACAGCCCGCACAACGCCTTCGTTGGCCTTGGCCTGCTTTAGTCGAGAGTTAGTCATGTATCCAAACTTGCGCAGGAGAGGTTTTCGACAGTCTAATGCCAGAGCACCAGCACTGTTCTTCAAATGATTGTGTAGTTCCACCGGATTCGGCAGCAAAGCGAGAACCTTGACCAAGAACCCTACTCCCGAGTGTCCATTGCTTGACAACCTTGATATATCCCGCACAAGAACGCGAAGTGAGAGCTGGCCAGTGCGACACAGTTGGGCGACAAATCGCACCAGACGGTCTTTGCCATCAACCGTGGAGGCCTCCTTGTTTTTGGCAAACCCTTTCAAAAAGCCCCAAATCTCGCGTTGCAGCGGTGGGTTGGCCGAAGCACTGTCTCCCTCCGTACGCAAACCATGCACGTCGAGAGTGAAACATCGAAGCGGTTTTTGTGCCTGCGGTGTAGTATTCCTGGAGGATGCTCCAAAGTTGAGCCCGAGACTGAAAAGCACACCACACCCGACACAAACGGCTTCTGCTTCGCCAGTGACGGAAGCGGCAACTGCCCAGCAGCAAACCTGTCGCACCACTTCTCCTAGACCGCCGCGGTCTTTGCTTATGTCATATAAAACCTTTATGGGTCTCGACAAATCGCCGTGCCCCGGCAACATCTCCAACTCGCGATATGCAAGGTGAGACGAGAGATTTTTGTCCTTGTCTGTACTAAAAGCTTGGTTTGGATACTGGACAGGAAGAATCCTGTCCACACTCTTACCCAAATCAAGGGACTGACGATTGCGGCTCTTCAGCATGATGGCGATCCCGCGCTTGACATATCGTTCAAGGTCGCTCATCCTTGCCTCGGAATCGGGACTGCCTATTATGGTGCCATCGAGCACTCGCACAGCCGCGCTGAGCAACATCGTAACCTCGCGGTGACATAAATTGGGTTGAAACTGCTGGCGCTTGACGGCCCCCTTCCGGGAGGGGGATTTGGGGTCGCGCTTACCCTGGCTGGCGGCACCGTTGGCAGCGGCCTTCGCAGCAGCCGCCGGGGCGCCTCGCCAGGCCTTGACAATCTCCTTGGCGCCGGGCAGCAAAGACTCGAGCAACAAATGCGAGCTCTCCGTCGACGTGAGGAACTCTGGCAAGAAGCGGCGGGTGGCTTTGATGGCGATCCTCGTTCCCGGGGAAGTAAACGACTGGGACAGGACAAGCTCGGCGCGCAGTACAGCAGCAATCTGGGCAAGCCACTGTTTGCAGTCCAACAATCCCTCATCCGCCTGCCATCGCGACAAGTCCAGGACGTAGGCCCAAAAAGTGACTCGATCCATGGAGCCGAGAATGGCGGTCTCCCTCGCACGGATGGCTTCCATCTCCGTCTTGAGCAGGGCGCAAAGCTGGCGGCTCCAAAAGACCTTGGCCGAAGGCGGTGGGCGGTTGGGCCGAATCTGTTTGACGCACTCATTCAGGACGGCAATCCTAATGTACCAGGCGGCCCTCTGCGTAGGAACAGACCGACTCGCCATCATCTCAATGACCTTGCCCGTGCTGCGCCCAATGCCCGGCCACAGCGGGACGCTCCTCGCCAGCTCGGCGGTGTCAAACTTGGCGCCGGCGCTCAGCTTGTTAAACCAGTCCTCCAGCGAGCTGGACGCACCTGCCTTCTGCAACGGAAAGGCCTTCTTATTCCCGGACACGACATACCCTTCCGCAGGGTCCGGCTCATCCGTCTCCTCCTTCTCAAACGTGCAGACCTCCACGCGCTGCAGCTTTGTCGGCCTGCTCCTCCTCAAGACGGCAATGCCCGTGCGGAGCTTGGACAAGTCGGTGGGCGAGAGGCCGTTCCCCGTGGCGGGCCCGTGGGTCGGGGTAGCGCCCGGCACGGCCGACGACAGGGTGGGCGCGGAGAGCGCGGACACCGGGGCGGGCAGGCACGACGCAAACTCGTACGGCATGCGGCGCTCGGCGTAGCCGCTGGTGACGGCCTCGCGGTCCAGCTTGAGCTCGGGCGGGGCGTCGCAGAACGGGGCGCGCGACGGGTGCGGCGGCTCCACCGGGTACACGTCCGCGCGCACGCCCGGCGCGATCTCCGGGACCCACACGGGCACGTGCTCGACGTCCGACATCGCGGGCGGGGGCGGGGGCGGGGCGCGGGCGCGGGTCACAGCTGCGCTTCAGGAACGCATGCGGGGGGAGGCAGGAGCAAGGTAGAGCAGATGCGGCGGAGTGCGTGTGCGTCTAGAGCAGAATACACACTGTCCGTAATGGACGTGGCCGGGCTTTGCTGGCGCGCGAACGTGGCCGCGTGGCTGCGCCGCGGGACACGCGCCGCGGGCCCTCCAACGGGAAGGCGCGGGCGGGTGGGGGCGGGGGGGCAGCAATATGGGGGCAGATGGGTGGCATGAAATTTAGAAATTTTATGGGGCGCGTCCCGCGGCGGGCCAACGGCAACAAAAGAGGGGTTGCGCGGCGAGCGAGGTCCGTGCCCGGGGGCGTGGGCAAGGGAGTGATGGACGGGAGCATGGAGGCGGCAGGGGTTTCCGCGCGGGCGCTGTGGGAGGCAGTGAGTGAGCACGCGACGGCGCGCGAGGCGACGTGGCAGGGGCCGGGCGCGCGCGGCGGCGCGGCGTACGCGGGCGGCGCGGCGGCGCGGGGCGCGCCGAAGGCGGAGAAGAGGGCGGCGCCGGTCGCGGGCGCGGACGCGTCGCTGTGGCAGAGGGTCGAGACCGTCGACGCGGAGAAGGGGAAGACGGTCGCTAGACTGCTGCAGAAGCATCTGCTCGCGCGCGTGGAGAGGATGCCCCTCGATGAGATCGAGATGCTGGGAGGCGGGTGACGGGGAGGGTGGGGGGAGGGGTCCGGATGGCGGGTCTGGGCAGGCTGTAGGGCAGTATTGTAGGGGCTGGACTGCGGCGTTTCTAACACGGCAAGTTAGAATGGCGTTGCCAAGTTTGTAAAGCTACGGCACAGTTGCGTATGGTTGCCGTTTCGCACCTCGGCCTGAGCACGACGACTAAAGGAGAGGATGAAAGCATCGGGGTTGCGGAGGGGCGATGGCGATGGATGGGGGGTGGCGCAAAAATGAACACTTATCGTTCAGGGTGTGGCTCTACCATGAGGTACAGTATCAGGAAAACCAGCATAAAATATCTAAATAATCGCATTTTATTATTTAAAAAAATAATCGGATGGTAATACCAATTAATACAGGCGCTGGAAGGCGACGCCCTAAAGCCTAAAAGACTAAAGCCTAAAGGAGAGGATGTAAGCATTTGGCTTTTGGCTTGCGGAGGGGCGCGGCACAATCCCGAAAATCTCAGGTGTCATGATATCCCGCTCGGAAGCTGTCGAGTAGGGGCGGCTTGGAAATCACTGACACTACGATTGCACACGGCGAGGCCGAAACACGTTTCGTCGCAGCATTCAACACCTTCGTACAACCCCTTTTGGCTGACCTTGGTTGGGAGGAGGACCACATGTGCGCCACGAGCACCCCCACGCCGACGAGCATCGAGAATTTCTCCAGGCGCGGAAGCAGCTGTGTTTTCGTGTCGAAAGATACAGACGTGACCATGATTCTTGCACTTGCGGAAAGGTTGCGGAACAGAGGCGTCATCCAT